GACGGCGTTGTGTAACGTGATGTAAGGCACTGTCAGCCCGGGCGCTCTCTGCCTCAGTATTTCCGAAGTGCGGTTGCGTCCAGCCGATAAGGGAGCGCGAGGAAGAGCCAGGAGGAAGAAACCCAGCAGGAAAAGCAGCTTTTAAAGGGTTTTTTTTTAAGGGAGCACATGCGCCTCAATGGGCGGCAATCAGTGGCTGGCTGGGCGTTGTGTAACGTGATGTAAGGCACTGTCAGCCCGGGCGCTCTCTGCCTCAGTATTTCCGAAGTGCGGTTGCGTCCAGCCGATAAGGGAGCGCGAGGAAGAGCCAGGAGGAAGAAACCCAGCAGGAAAAGCAGCTTTTAAAGGGTTTTTTTTTAAGGGAGCACATGCGCCTCAATGGGCGGCAATCAGTGGCTGGCTGTTGATGGGGCTGCTTTCACCCGTAACCACAGTGCCGTGCCAGGAGACCCATGGCCATGAAAGGTCTTCCAGTGTCAACAGCTTCCAGTTGGCTGGTGGAGCCCTGAAATGGGGTTAAGAGTGGCCTTAGGAGGCTCGGGCTGCTCCAAAATGGGGATGTTTTGGGGTTTTCGCAGGGAACTGGCAAGATGGGGGTGCTGTGGGGGTTTTGCAGGGAAGAGGAGAGATGGGGACGTGGCAGAGCAGGTGATGCAGGGCAGCGGGCAGGGCCACGCTGGGCTTTGGCTGGGAGGGCTAACTGCGGCAACTCCACTCCAAAAGGAAGAGTAAAGGTACCTGCCCTCGCTGGCAGGAGGAGGGATGCAGGTGCTTGCTGCCTGTGATGGTTAGGGGAGTCCCGGCCGCAGCACAGGAGCACTTCTCACTGTGGAGGTGCAGCTGGGGCAGGGGGGGGACACGACCTGGGGGCTTGCTGGGAGCCCCCTTGGGTCCTCTGCTCACCTGAAGCTCCCACCTTTGCTTTTGGTCCTGGCAAACCTGGCTCAAACCACAGTTAGTTTTGTTCGGGTGGCAGCTGGGGAAGGTGACGAGCAGGGCTGGCAGGCAGGTCACCCGCCCTGGCAGCACCCCTGTGCGGCAGGCACAGGGCAGCGCTCGCTTCCGCTGAATTTTGCAGAGGGAGGTGATGCTTGAAACCTGTGGTCGGTCCATGGGAGAGAGTGGAGGGTGCTGGGCACAGCACGAGTAACCCCCTCGGCCTCGGTGCTGCTGCCTCCACCCTGGATGGCTGCTTTTGTGCAACGTAATCCCCTAAAATTAGAAATTCCTCAAGTTCCCGTCACTGCACTGCCCAGTGTCTGATTGCAACTGATGGCGCCTCTTTCCAGCTTTTCTTTTTTTTGACTTGTAAATTTTAGACAGAGAAAATTAAGCTTTAAATGCAGAAAGGAGGCATTCTGGGGCAGGAACCTCCTGGTTTACCACAGGCTGGACCTCTCATTGCTGCAGGCTGGGTGCTGCTGCGTAGGGACATGGTGAGCCTCAGCAAAAGCCAGTGCCTGCCCTGGAGACCAGCCAGTTGAAATAGAAAACAGGAGGAGACAGCAGGAACTGAGGCGCAAACTGGTGGCCCTGAGCCTTGGGGCACAGCCCGGCTGTGCTGGCGTGTTTGGGATTTGCCGTCCCCCTTCCCCGGGGTGCCGGGTGCTGCCGGTCCTGCCTGACGGAGCTGCTCTGCTCTTCCCTTTGTAGTTGGCGACAAGGTGCCGGCGGACATTCGGATCATCGAAATCCGGTCCACCACCCTGCGGGTCGACCAGTCCATCCTCACAGGTGCGTGCAGGCCTGATGGGGCGGAGGCAGCTGCTGAAGGCAGAACTTTCCCTCTACCGTCTGCCCCGAGCCAAATTTTGGGGCTGACACCAAGCTAGGCACTTTGCTGGGGTGGGAAACGGGTGGGAGAATGAGACTGAGGACCTGGGGAGATCTCCTCATCGTCTAAAAGTCATGGCGTAGGCAAGATGTGCCGGGTGTTCGGGCATCCCTTCTGCAAAACACAAAGCTGTCTGGTGCAAGAAGTGGGGTTTCATGGGGGGCTGCTCAGACCCTGCCCGTGCTCCCCCTGCACAGCCATTGCATGATGACCACTAGTGTACAAGGCTTCACAACTTCAGAGAGAGGCGGCTTTTTTTTTTTTAAGCGTTGGAAAAGCCCTTAAAGCTGATAGTCTATGATATTTCAAAAGTCCTCTCCTTCTGCTGTCAGGGAAGGCCAGTGGACGATCAGACAGCAGAAAGGGCTTCCAATATTCCAGCTCTCTTGTGTGATTTTGTAAAGGTATCGAGTTGGGAGATGGCAGCAGGGAAGGAAAAGCAATCAAAAAAAAAAAAATTTAAAATGTGAGGAAAGGAGCCCAATCTCCTTGAAACACGACTTCGCATTAACTTAGTTCTCCAAGGCAAGAGGAGGCACAGCAAAAGGGCAAACCTGCAAAGAACAACATATAAATCTTCAGCAGAAGGGCTTTGGGCACCTTTCCTGTTGTGCTGCCCTGCAAACCCCATGTGAGTGTGCAAACCTGCACTGCCAGCCAGCAGCTCCCTGGCACAGGGATTTGGCCCCATCCTGTTGGGCTGTGTGAGAGCTCGTGGCCGCTCTAGCAAACCACACAGGTCGTTTTTCTGCAGCCCTCGTCTTCAGAGCGCCTTGGCCCAGCTCTCACCGCCTCGTGATGGATGTTTTGATGGTTTGGTGGCAAAGTGCTGCTTTAGAAAGCCACGGGGGTTGTGCTGCAGGCTCATAACGCGTTGAGCAGAGCCTGGAGAGGAAATGCGGGTGGTTCATCTCCCCCCTCTTGTCTTGGCAGGGGAGTCTGTGTCGGTGATCAAACATGCTGACCCCATCCCTGACCCCCGGGCTGTCAACCAGGACAAGAAGAACATGCTTTTCTCCGTAAGTCCCTTACGCCTGTCCCCACCTCTCCTGTGGTTTTCCAAAGAGCCACCAAGTGAAGAGGCTCCACACAGGAGATCTCTGAGCAGTGAAAGGGAATTCATGCATGAGAGACCTGGATCCATAAAGAGAGCCCCAAATTCATAAAAATAAGGACTTGCTTCATTTGAATTTCATTTGTGCTGTGGCACATGATGCCCTTCAATGCCTTAGGCAACCTCAGCAGGTTTTCCATCAAATAGGATGCACTGTGGATGGGGAAAAGTTTTGTGGTTGCTCCCGGAGCTATTGCAAATTTGGGTTTCCTCCTCACTCATGCTCCTCTTGGGAAGAAGTCCTTGAGGGGAGAGAGAGCTCTCAGGAGGGTCTCCTGCTGCTTTAGGGTGGGTTTATATAAAGTCCCAGGTGTCTCGTTTTCCCCTTAACCAAGATCTCGTGCTCTCCTTTCACAAGCGACCCACTCACTCAGGCCAAGAGGTTTTATGCCCACATATCCACTCTCGCCCCTTTCTTTTCTCCCAGGGCACCAACATCGCAGCTGGGAAGGCCGTAGGGATCGTAATTGCAACAGGGGTGTACACTGAGATCGGCAAGATCCGAAACCAGATGGTGGAGACGGAACCTGAGAAGACGCCCTTGCAGCAGAAGCTGGATGAGTTCAGCCAGCAGCTCTCCAAAGTGATCTTCCTGGTGTGCATCGCTGTCTGGGTCATCAACGTCAGCCACTTCAGCGACCCTGTCCACGGCGGCTCCTGGTTTCGGGGAGCTATCTACTATTTCAAGATTTCGGTGGCGCTGGCGGTGGCTGCCATTCCTGAGGGCCTGCCGGCCGTCATCACCACCTGCCTGGCGCTGGGCACGCGCCGCATGGCCAAGAAGAACGCCATCGTCCGGAGCCTGCCCTCGGTGGAGACCCTGGGCTGCACCTCCGTCATCTGCTCCGACAAGACCGGCACCCTCACCACCAACCAGATGTCTGTCTGCCGGGTGAGTGCTGGGGGCATTTTGGGGTGCAGGGGGGATGCTGGGTGCTGGGTAAGCCCCCAAGCACTCTATTAATCTCCATCCCCATCCTGGGGTACCGGGCTTTGCTGTCCTCGCCAGACTGGTTTCATGTTAGGCATTTGAAGGTGAGCATGGAAGATGGTTTGTAGGAAGCCCTTGGCTTCCCTTCTGCCTCACTGGTCGCAAGGAGGTTTATGGTTTCTCTTGGCATGGTTGTAATTAGAAAACTCACTTCTATAAGCACACCAGTTTGGAGGCGCCGTGTTGTAGATTTATTTCAGGGCTCCCTCTCCACAGAGCATTTCTTCCTGCTGGGATGTGATGTTGAGACGGAGCTCCTGGAGATGCCAATGAAATCAGCCTCCTCTGCTCTCTTGGCCGTTTTTTCCTTGTTTTTAACCAAACCAGTGAGAAATCCTGGACTGTGCAAAAGTCTGGACTGGTGAGGCCAAAACTCACTCAAAACTGAAGGGTCAGTGCAATGCATGGGTCTGTGACAAGCTCAGACAGAAATCTAGGGGTTAAGAGAAGATGCCCATGACCTGGTGAAAAGGTGCTTTGGTTCCCCATCCTCACCTGGCAGAGGGTCTGCCGTCAGTGGTTGTGGGCAGCTGAGCTCGGACTGGAAAGCACTTCTGACAGAGGGAGCTCTGGGGTGGTTTGGCGAAGAGATTGAAGGCTCCTGGTCTACCAGAGAGCTTTGCTTCTGCATGCCTGGCTGGGTGGAGAGGTGACTTGTTAGGAAAGCCTGGACCATCTAACTACTTCTCAGTTTCCCCATTAATCCTCAAGTCTCAGGAAAGGTTTTTTTCATGGCCTTGGCGCGTTGGTTTTATAGGAGAACCTTGGAAAATGTGTTGCTGTGGGGAAAAATGGACCTGGCCACTGTCTCTCTTCTCTGACACTTGGGTAGTGTAGTGGGAAGCCATGACTATGCTGCAGGCTGGCCATGAGCTTTGGCCGCTGGTTTGCTCAGCACAAACTAAGATTACTGGAAACGTCTGATGTTTCTGCCCTGTAAGTGATTTAAAAGGAGACACCGCTGGGACGAGGCTGTGACCAAGCTGCCCACGTCTTGCATGAGGATGACGTTCCCACAAGCCCATTTTCTGACCCCGTGTTGCAGGGAAGCAAGTAAAGGGTGACCCAAACATTTGTGGTCTCTTTAGCTCTGCAGACTGCAGAAGGAGAGGTAGGAGTCACCCTGTGCTCCCCAAAGCGCTTCTTACCGTAGGATCTGCTCCTTGGACTTGGGCAGAAGTGCCACCATCTCCTGTGGAGTGGCATGGTCAGGAGAGGCAGGACTAGTCATGCTGAGACAGGGAGAGGGCAGGAGAGGAATGGAGCGGGGCAGTGGCACACAAGAGGGTTTTAGCATTCATCATCATTTGCAGAATAAACTGGACAACTTTGTGGGGAAAAAAAAAAAATTAATTCTAAATTCAGTGTATCCTCCACCCCATCTCCCCACAACCCTGGTCCAACACCCATGTTATTCACTTGGCTGAATCCCAACTCCCAGAGCATGATACCAAGAGTCAGACTGGCCCCAGGACACACAGACAGGCTGTTAATGTTTAACGGAGAGGGATTCCCGTGTTGACGCAGGCAGCGCGGAGGCTGCCGGCGGCTCTGCTGAGCGGCGGGTGGGTAAATATTT